ATTGGTGACTGATTGTCCTCGACATTTTGATCTTGTTGGATGACATTTTGGACTACCATATCGGTGACCTATCGGATTCTATCTCGGTGACCTACCGGTGTTGTCTACCTCCCCCACCTCCTTCGTCTCTTCTCCCACCTTTCATATGTGTATGTGTGTACGGGATCTGGGCATCGTCCATGCTTGGCCCAGACCCCACCATCTCACGATTGTATGTGTATGGAGTGATTCTTGAGTCGGTCTATGTGAGTCAGTCCGTTTATCAGACTTCCGCTGCATATATGCTCATCCTATATTGGTTGATCTTTGGTTCTGCCCATACTCATTGAAGTATGTAACAGTTTTGGTATCGGAGCAGACCAATTACGGATCTGCTCACCATGTAAGACTGATTTAGGAATTAGATTGTTTCTTCAATCTTCCAAATCAGCGTTGTATTACTATCAAGTTCAAAGTTGCAATTTTTTTTTTCTTTTTTCGGTATTCTGTTTATTTCGGCACTTCCGTTTCAATTCAGTATTCGGACTTGTTATTCGGATTTCTGTTTTACGTCGGCATGCTGTTTAATTAGGTTCCGATAAATTGATACTAATCCGACATTCTGTTTGATTCGGATTTTTGGTTAGTAATTCGTAATTAGGGTTAAATCAGTTTTCTGTTGATTTCGATATTCTGATTTCTTTGGGTATTCCGTTTTTATTTCGGCATTCTGATTTTTAATCCGGTATTTCGTTTTACCAATCGTCATTTTCGTTCTATCGCAGTAGTGAAAATTAGGGTTACGAAAATTTGGTTTTCGCTCAACTTGGGAAATTCGAACGTTTTGGGAACCGTAAATCCGGAAATTCCGCTGAAACGCGGAAAATTAGGGTTGGGCCCGAAATTTTCGCGAAATTTTTTTCTTTCCTTTGTTTTGAGAAATTTCGAAAACGGGTTTAGGCCGTTAAAAATCGGATTTTGACGGTGGAAATTCCCGCAATTCACGTTTTTGAAAATTCGAGTGTTTTCCCCTGACTTTTTCCGAGATTTTTTTTTGGCAAACTAATCCGAATCTAACCCTCAAAGTTGCAACTTCCGGATAGTTCACTCATTACCGGTGAACTCCCGGACCAAAATTGATCTCAAAGAGACTTGATCTTAATACAATTCAAAATTCGTTCATTATCATTATTGCAAAGATTATTTTAATTGATTATCGTTAAGAAATCATTATTGCAAAGATTGTTTATTGATTATCATTAAGAATTATTCTTTCGTATTAATCATTAATTAAATTATTGATTAAATAATTCGTTATTATTCTTCGTATTACGAATTTTCGAATTGTTTACGGGAACATTTATTTTTTTTGTTTGATTAGGTGTCTTAGTCCATCCTTGGGACAGGGACTGTATGAATATTGCTTGATCTGTGCTATCCCTGTGCCCACCCTCTCCCTCACACTGTTATGCGATCCTTCGGACGAGCCAGTCTTCAGCAACAGTTCTCTGATGCCAGCAGGGCCAGCCTCCGAACAGCACCCACGACGAAGCAAGAGGATCGCCGATCTCCACCAGCGACAGCAACCTCCAGTTCCACAACCAGTACTCAGATGGCGAACACGCCGCACAGCGGATCATCATCCGAGGGTTCGACAACTAGTAATGTCGAACCCTTACCGGTCTGTCCGGTGCGAGGGTCGAATGAGCCCCTCCCGGACTTCATTCAGAGAATGCAGGACTATACAGCCGCACTCACCCAGGTCAAGGAACAGCAAGAGGCTGCCGCAGCCGAAAGACTACGGCTAGCAGAGGAAGCTGCAGCACAAACCCGGCGTCAAGCCGAGGCAGACCAGTTGGCGATCGATCAGCTCAACACCGGCAGCGCTGAACTTGTAAGTGCTAACCAAGCACAATGGACAGCGGTGCTCAACGGGATGCGTTATGTCCCGGTACCCGGCAGCAAGCCGACAACAGTACAGCAAGAGAGGCACGACCTAGCTGATATTCTACTCCATACAATGCGCGCCGTCATTTGGAACATCTCCATGGGGGAGCTGCGTTGCCGGTCCACAGTGTAGCTGCAGCACGATCTGAGCCACAACGTGAAGATACTGGCAGCAGCTGTCAAGGTCGCGAACAACCAGTTGAAACAGCTGGATGCACGCATTGCTACCTTGGAGGCAAGGCCTCCCCAAGCAGCGCCAGGCTGCACGCCAGATATGACAGACACAACGAAGCAGCTCAATGGGCGCCGTCAATCTCATCGGCGACATAGGTGTTTTCAATGGGCCGGACACGATCAGTAGCACAGTGGCCCCCATCAAGACGGACATCACCAAGATGCAGACAAAGCCAGACGCCACCACGAAGAATTACAAGATGCCGCACTTCGACATCAGCAAGTTCGATGACCACAACAAGACAAACGCTCTGGCATGGTGGCAACATTTCCTCACGGAAGCATCCTGCCGCACTGTCTTGGACGACTATCTGATGAAGGCGTTATACTTGAAACATATTGGAGGAGCGCAGGCATGGATGAACAATCTGGCGGTTACCCACACATGCACCATCGCCGAACTTCACACGCACATTACGTGGAAGGATTTCGAGAAGCTATGGTTCACCCGGTTCATGGTCCGCAACGTCGTGAAGGCGGCCGTGAACGAGGTGTACACCTGCTCTCAAGGGAGTGTGCCAACTTGAGACTGGACAACCAAGTGGCAGAAGATAGTGACCACTCCAGGCTTCGATTTGACTTTTCCTAATCAACGATCCGAGTTCTTCTCGCGATCATGCGCAGGATTGCGATCGGCACTCGGTAACGAGTACGACTACAACTCGTTCCAGGCTATCCTGGATCGCGCAAACCTGGTCATCCAAACGGACGACAAGGCCGCTAACGAGAAACAATCCCAGCCGCATTATGTGGCCAAGTCGGGCTGTCAACGACCGGCACATAACAATGCCGTAATTTATGAAGAAACAGTCGATCTCCACTCTGCAGCAGCATCCTCGAGTGATGGAGGAAATGTAGCAGCGCTCCCGCCGAAGCGTCTTAAGACGGTCCGGAAACCCAAGGCGATACAAGAGACGGCATCGACGGGAACTGGGCAGCAGCCATGGACGGCCTACAACATCACCAAGAAGTCTATGAACTTCGTCAAAAGTATAGATATTGCCTTTGGTGCAATGGAGTCACACACTTGACTGCACAATGCCCCAAAAAGGGCAAGGCACACGTACTCCGTCCAACAAACTCGGGAAACTGAGTTACGCAAGGAGAGGGGCGACGTCTCTCCTCACTCCGCCGGAACCGGTTACCTTGCTAGCAATCGATGCCACTACCGGGGAGCATGCGTTAGTCGCTGATTCTCGTGCTACGTACGAAGATTATGCCGCCCAGCTGGTACCACCATTAGACCAGCCAAGCCACGTGCATTTAGCTAGCGTATGCGCAGCCTGTACACCGTCGGCAAGTGATCCGGTCAGTTCGCCACTGATTTCCGAGGACTCGACGGCGTGGTCAAGACTTGAGGAGCTTGACCCGCTCACGAGAGAGGACTTCGCTTGGATGCCTCTACCCTCGACCGGAACCTTGCCAAGGCCGCATTGCAACGCCTTGATGGCAGATTTACGCTCCTATTTGCACACTACAGTACCAGCTCCGTTGACGGACGACGGAGTAGCGGTTGTCGATCTCCGCTCCTATCTTGCGAAGATTGACCGCGAGTACGCCACCCAAAGGTACGCCGAAACCGACGCTCCTTTGCTCTACATCCACATTCAAATCGGAAAGGCAACCTGTAGTGCCTTGATTGATTGCGGAGCGTCTCGCAACTTTATGAGCCAAGCCTTTATGGCCCGCGCAGGTCTTGGCCAGCTCGTTCGAGAGGAAGACGCAACCCACGCAAGTTACACTTGCGGACGGCCGCACGCAAAAGTCAATTGACCGATGCGTCGACGACGTTCCGGTATACTTTGCGCCACTTGCGTGCGAGCCGGTGTCTTTTGACATCCTCGACACCAAGTTCAACATGATTCTAGGCATGTCTTGGTTGCGTAGCGCCGATCATCCGGTGAACTTCCATGACCGAACTGTTCACATCCATGATCGGAACGGAGTGTTAGTCCCTTGTACGGTCGCGACCCCTCACACTTCGATTGCTTGTCACGTGGTTTCCGTTGCGAGAATTCGCGACACCATAGCTCGGAATGACGTCGAGGAGATGGGCCTTGTATTCTTGCATGCTCTCCCCTCGCCGGACGGACCAGCCGCGGCACCGCCGGACCCACACATTTCTCACCTCTTGGACGAGTATAGAGACGTCTTCGAGGCTCCCACCGGAACGGTTCCGGATCGGCCCATACGTCACGGGATCACTCTCGAGGCTGGCGCCCCGCGTGGATGTATCTACCGCATGAGCGAAGAGGAACTCGAGGTGCTTCGCGCACAAGTCAATGACCTTCTCGACAAGGGTTGGATTCGCCCTAGTTGCTCGCCATACGGTGCCCCTCTTCTCTTCGTCCAGAAGAAGAACAAAGATCTACGGCTATGCATCGATTATCGGAAACTTAACGCACAAATCGTAAAGAACACCGGCCCTCTCCCTCGGATTGATGATCTTCTTGAGCGGTTAGGCGCCGCGACGTACTTCTCGAAGTTGGACTTGAAGTCAGGTTACCACTAGATTGAAATCCAGCCTCAAGACCGGTACAAGACCGCAGCGTCCTCATCTACCTTGATGACATCTTGGTTTATAGTAGGACGTTGGACGAGCACATCGTACACCTTCGCGTTGTTCTGGATTGTTTGCGACTAGCCAAGTACAAAGTGAATCTCGACAAGTGCGAATTCGCCAAGCAAGAGCTTGAGTACTTGGGTCATTTTGTCACGCCGAAACGCATTAATCCCTTAGCGGACAAGATCCAAGCCATCGTGGATTGGCCGGAACCCCGTTGCACGACGGATGTACGGTCTTTCATGGGTTTGGCTGGATATTATCAGCGATTCGTCGAGTCATACTTGAAAGTGGCCGCTCCTTTATCGAGACTTCGGTCCCCGAAGGTGCCCTTCGAGTTCGACGACGCAGCCCGTGGCGCGTTCACTACGTTGAAGGCGGCAATGCAAGCTGCACCTGCCCTCCGTATATATGACCCCACCCTTCCCACCCAAGTGACTACGAACGCTTCGGGATACGGTATTGGTGCGGTGTTGGAACASTGTCACGAGGACGGTTGGCATCCGATCGAGTACTTCTCCCAAAAGGTGCCTCTCGTAAACACTCTCGACAACGCTAGGAAGAAAGAGCTACACGCGTTCGTCACCGTTCTCAAACGGTGGCGCCACTTTCTTCTCGGCCGTCGGCGTTTTAAATGGAATACGGACAACAATCCGTTGACCATTTACAAAACGCAAGACACGGTCACTAGCACGATCGGTCTATGGATGTATTACATCGACCAGTTCGATTTTGACCCGTGCCACATTCCCGGTCCCGCCAATCGAGCTGCGGACGCCCTCTCACGACGGCCCGACTTTTGTGCCATTGTGACCACGGCATTCGATCTCGATGACAATCTGCAGCCGCATTTCATCAAAGGCTACAAGTCCGATCCGAGTTACTCTACTCTTTACTCGGAGCTTTCATCGGATCACCCGCCGGCTAGCCACTATCGGATTTTCGACGGGGTCCTTCTCCTTCACACGACGCACGACTTTCGGCACACCTTGGCGTGAACCGCACATTAGCACGCCTCCGCCAGCGTTTTCACTGGCCCAACGTCCTTCATGACGTCACGAGGTACATTGAGTCATGTGCAGTTTGCCACCGTAACAAGGGTTGATCTCGAGTCCCCTTCGGCGAACTGAAACCGTTGCCGATTCCTCAGGCACCACGCCTCTCCATTGCTATGAACGTGACAGGCCCGTTTCCCCACGATCGCCACGGCCATGACGGTATTCTCACGGTCGTTGACCGTTTGAGCAAGTATGCTCGCTTCCTTCCTTGCAAGTATCATGCTGCAGCGCCTGAGCTCGCATGACTCTTGCACACCGGTTGGATTACCAACCAGGGTGTTCCGGAAGACATAGTGAGCGACCGAGATACTCGCTTCATGTCGGCTTTTTGGACTTCCCTCATGGCTGAGTCCGGTACGACAATGAAGTCGAGCTCGGCTCGGCACCCGCAGAGACGGAGCGAGCGCACCAGACCGCTCAGATGATGTTGCGTACGCTCATCCGTCCCGACCAGAAAGATTGGGTTGACCGGCTTCCCGACATCGAGTTCGCCTACAACACTTCGGTGCACCCGGCGATCTGCGTCACACCATTCGAGCTACACCATGGTGGAGAGAAAGCACGGATCTTCGCAGATCTACTTTTGCCACAGGCTGCCGACATAGACGTCCCTTGCTCTCCCGCTTCCGTTCGGAAGTACCGGGACTTGCTGATTAAGGCCCGCGCGAATATGCAAAAGGCTCAGATCCGCATGCAGCAGCAGGCTAACCGACGTCGACTTCCATGTCCTTTCCGCGAGGGAGACCTTGTTTGGGTCCTCTCCGAGGAATTTGCGCTCGAGCAGGACCTTTCGTGCAAACTCCTTCCGAAATGGTTCGGACCATGGGAAGTCACTTCTGCCGTTGGAGACGACCCCGCAGGTCCTTCCTTTGTGGTCAACATTCCTCCGCACCTTCCAGTGCACCGGGTCTTCCACGCGTCGAAGCTGGCCATCTACACGCCACCTTCCGCCGACGAGTTTCCCGGCCGTCGATCCCAGGATCCGCCTTCTATGGACGGACATCAGGAAGTTGACCGAGTCATCACGCATCGCAAGTATGGCAACAAGCCAATGCAGTTCAAAGTCACATTCAAGCAATGTGCGCCTGATGACACTTGGTGGATCTCCAGCACAGATTTGCAGACTTTTGCACCCCTTATCTTCGCCGACTATGAAAGCGACGCCTTGCTAAGGAAGTAGCTCGTCCCGCTCGACCCACCCCGGTATCGGACTGACAACTTCGCCCTCGCAGGTAGCTCGGTCTTTTAAGAGGGGGAGTGTGTTACATCTTCGACGCCACACGGGTCCTACCGGACCCGACGTAAGGGTAGAGGGACACAGTAGGGCCAAAGGCCCGACCTTGCGGGGTACTACAGGCCGTAAAGGCCTTACCTTGGACCACACCCGACGGGCCGGCCCAAACAATATTACCGTTTGGGCCTGGCGGCACTCTTGAGGCTGCTGCCCGACGGTTGGGGCTGAACCGTCCATCTGGACAGTTCAGGGCACGGTCAGGCCTCGCAGCATAGAGGCCGACCTCTGCCCACCGGTACAAAAGTACCGGTCCAGCCTCAGTGAGGCTATCGACCTACCGGCATTCTACC